TTATATATTTGATTTCTCTACCTATTATTAAATACAGACATATATTTGTAACCAAAAAACAACGGCCAGAATTAGAAAAACCTATTACCGAAGAAATATTTTTAACAGAATTAAGAGATCGTTTAAACGAAATCCATAATGAATCGGGACGATCCATTTTAGAAGGGGGAGAGTTATCCAACCCGTGAAACGGTTCCACTTATGGAACTAATAAACAAATTTTAAAATTCAATTATCCAACGGTTCCACTTATGGGATTAATAAACAAATTTTTAAATTCAATCTCAGCTACATTGCGTTTGCCTTTATTTATGATTCTGCCTTCGCCTTTTTCATTAACTTCGAAGGCCGCGCTTGACCGTTCTGCTAAGATAAATAAACCTATAGTAAAGTAAACAACAGCTTCCGTTCGAAGCCAAACTCTCACGTTCAAAGACAAAAGTATTGCGTTCCAATTTTTAATCAAAATTGCATCGGTCAGCATAATTGAATTTCACAACGAGATGCGACAGTTTCAGCATAAGCTTTTATTTTAAACAAAAAGCAAAGTTCTAAAAGCTTAAAAAAGAAAAGCTTCTGGCCGAGGTTCGTTGGAGAAGATTTTAGAATTAAGGAGTCAGTCTTATTCGGATTGAAACCGGGATCGGTCATAAGAAATAATAATAAGTGAAAGTGTCTTGATGTAATAAAGAGTTAGTGAATTAAGGTCTGCACCAATAAAGTGAAATTAAAAAATAAAATTTATATTTTTTTTAATCAACCAATACGATCAAATTTAATTGGCGCCCAACGTGGGGCTGTGTCATTAAAAAGTTCAAAAAAAAAAAATTTAATGAAAACAAAGTTAAATTAACAACGGAACTCGCGCAGCCAAGAACTCAAATTTTTATTGGAAAAATTAAAACATCCAACACCAAACAGTGATCGTGTAATGGAAATCAATAAATGAAATAATCCATTAAGTTGATTAGTTGGTGGACTGAAGATCTAAATCTCAAACATCAAGAACACTATAAAAATAAAATAAATCCGAAAACCGCTAAAACAAATAAAACTACAAAACCAACCAAAAACAACAAGCAAATAATCAGACAACATATAACAAACCAAAGACAAATTGAAGGAAGGGCTGTAGGGCAATCCCTCGCCAACACTGGGAACAATTTTTTAATCTCTGTCGACAACAAGAAGAACATCGCATAAATTGAAGGAAGACCCCATCGGACAGTATCGTGAGGATAAATATAATTTTACTTTAATTAAGGAGTTTGAAAAGAAAATTAATTTAAGACAAGCAAATTTTTTATGAAATAACAGTGAGAATAAAAAAGAACAATCTGGAAAATTTAATAGATAGTTTCGGTGAATCAAATTTAACAATGGCAACTGGAAGTTCAACTAATTTTTCTGCAGGTGGTTTAGCCAGGGCCAGTACCCTAACTGAGGAATTAATTAACAGATTAATTAATGTTCAATTGAGCGAAGTAAGCAAAAAAATAGATGGTTTGGAAGAAAAGTTAGCAACAGACACAAACATAGTAGAGGCCTATAAAATTCAAGAAGTTGACCCAAATATAAAATGTGAAACCACTCTTGAAGTAATCAAATAAAAATTAATTATCTATTTACAAAAAAGTATCTACAGTTCATGGGTATTCAATTATTAATTTTACCATTATATAAATATATTTGGAACAAGAAATTTGTTCTATGAAATAAAAGGATTGGAATCTGACCTATTAATTGGGTTTAATTTATTAAGAAAAATCGGAGCAATTATAAATATTGAAAAGAGAGTGTTGGAGTATAAAGGGAATACAGAAAAGTTATTATATTGCGATAGTGAGGAAAAAATGAAACAAGTTTAATGGAAGTCAGTAATACTCTTCCATTAAAAGAATTTATTTTAAAAAAATATTTTGATTATTATACCCGTTACTCGTAGAGTAAAAGGGTATATTGTATTCGTGCAAAAGTATGTAACAGCTAGAAGGAAGCGTTTCCGACCCTATAAAGTATATATATTCTTGATCAGGATCACTAGCCGAGTCGATCTAGCCATGTCCGTCTGTCCGTCTGTCTGTCCGTCTGTCCGTCTGTCTGTCCGTATGAACGCTGAGATCTCGGAAACTATAAAAGCTAGAAGATTGGCATTTTGCATGCAGATTTTAGGAGTTCCTACGCAGCGCAAGTTTGTTTCAAAATGGTGCCACGCCCCCTTTAACGCCCACAATCGCTTATATACGATTTTAAAAATTTAAATATTTCGGAAAAGTAAAAATGCAGTTTTATTGTGTTTATCAATACCTATCGAAATGTAGAAGAAATTTTTCAAATCGGACCATTCGTTAAAAAGTTATGCGTGATCAAAGTTTCTATCTCCATCTCCCTCGCACTCCCTTTACCTGAGTAACGGGTATCTGATAGTCGGTGCACCCGACTATAGCGTTCTCTCTTGTTTAAGTTTCGAAAACACAGATTCTATATTTGTGGAAAGAAGCGAGAAAAGTTTGGGATCAACAAATCCTGAACGCGCCGACGATGAAATTTCCGTCAACAAAAAATTAAATAGTTTGGGATCAACAAATCCTGAGCACGCCGACGATGTAGTTTCCGTCAACAAAAAATTATTGGTTTAGGATCTAAAAATCCTAAACACCCCGACGTCGATTTTTCCGTCAACAAAAGAATAAAAATAAAATAAATGAAATAAAATGAATAATATTAATATGACCAGTACAAATCGAATAGAAGTACTGGAGAAGAAAATAATTGACATAATCGAGGAGGAACACTCAAAAATAAATTTACAAATTCCATTTCGTACCGATATTCGGAGTGAAATAAACACCGAAAATGACAAGGCAATTTATAGTAAACAATATCCTTATGCCTTATCAGTATCAGATTTCGTTAATACGGAAATCAATAGAATGCTTAAGGAAAATATTATAAGACCTAGTAGAAGTTTTTATAATTCTCCAGTGTTAGTGGTACCCAAAAAAGGTCAAAATGAAGATGGCAGTCTCAAACATAGATTAGTAATAGATTACAAAAAACTGAACGAAAACACTATACCGGACAGATACCCGATGCAAGACCCGTCTGTTATATTAGCTAATTTAGGAAAGGCTAAATTCTTCTCAACAATTGATTTGGAATCTGGATTCCACCAAATTTTAATGAAAGATTCAGATATTGAAAAAACCGCATTTTCTATTAATAACGGAAAATTTGAATTTTTACGAATGCCTTTCGGGTTAACAAACGCACCCAGAATTTTTCAAAGAGCTATGGATGATATCTTAAGAGAACAAGTAGGAAAAACCTTCCATGTTTATATGAACGATATAATTATTTTTTCAAACACTATTGAACAACACTATGCTGATTTAATTAAAATAATTAATATTTTACAAAGAGCAAATATGAAAATTTCTCTCGAAAAATCTAAATTCTTTAAATTAGAAACCACATTTCTAGGGTACATTGTTTCTCATAATGTAATTAAAACGGATCCCGAAAAAATTGCCACAATTAAAAAATATCCGATTCCACGTAATATTAGAGAACTCCGAAGTTTTCTAGGTTTAACAGGGTATTACAGAAAATTGTTCCGTAACTATGCAAAAATTGCTAAACCATTAAAAAAAAAAAACTTTATGCCACAAATAAAAAAGAATTGTTAGCTATACTATGGGCTTTAAAAAATCTTCGGAATTATTTATATGGAGTAATTGGCATAGAAATACAAACGGATCATCAATCCTCATCGTTCACAATTTCGGATAAAAATCCAAACGTGGAGATGAAAAGATGGTATTCTTTCATTGAAAGTTTTACCCCAAAAATTATATACAAACCCGGAACAACAAATGTTGTAGCCGATGCATTATCACGAATACAAATAAATAATATTACAAACAGCGACATAGACGTTTCTGAACAGTCAAACTCAGACCAAGACACACAGCATTCAGCTGAAAGTAGTTTTGAAAATGTAATACAAGAGACCCGTAAACCGTTAAATCAATTTAAACAACAATTGTTATTAACAACGGGGAGGTATACAATACATAAGTCACTGACATTTTTGACAAGACAAGACACATAATCGATTATGATACAGTTGAGAATTTAATAAGCATATTAAGGGAGTATCTTCCACCTAACGAATTCATTGTAGTTTAGAAGATTTATATCATATTCAAGTTTCTTTAAGAAATAGTTTTACTAACAAATTTCTTTTTACGATTATTTTTACAAGACGTAGAAAACGCCGAAGATAGAGCTATAATAATAGAGGAAACACACAATCGAGCTCATAGGGGACTAGACGAAAATCATAAACAAATCAGTAGATTATATTATTGGCCCAATCTATTTGTAAAACTAAAAGAATATATAAAAAATTGTAAAATTTGCATTGAGAACAAATATAACAGACACCCTATTAAAATTCCAATTGGGTAAGCCCCAGTCCCAACTAAAGAAGGCGAAAATTTACACATTGATATATATTATGCGCAAAGTTTAACTTTTTTAACTTGTGTCGCGGAACGGATTAACCTAATTATCGATTGTCGGGCAATTCAAATGTAGCGCCACAAATTAGAGATTATATTTAGTACAATGTAACCGGTTGAGGATTCTCGCTGTTTAGGGAATGCGGTCACACAGCTTGAAGTTAGGAAAAGCCAAGCTTCCCGCTTCCAAGTTATTCCAATCAACGAGGTCAGAGAAGCTGGGAGGCGAGACTGCGGTAAAGTTAACTTATATGTGTAGAGTTAAATCATGAACTTGTAATATTCCTACAGAATAAAACCCCGTCTGGTAAATACCATTTTACGCTACAAGATCTGGCTATTTCTTGTTTCGGTGCGGTATATCGGGTTAAAGGCAACTCCCAGTGACCGTCGTTTGAGCGGCGTCATTTCTTTTATTCGCATTCTTCATTCGCACTCTTCATTCGCACTACGTGCTCACATCTTCATCGTGCTATGCCAACTTCACATTCACCCCGGCGAAGTCCTCGGCTTGGACAGCCAGAGACTTCCGCAGCTGCAACCACTGGAAACCAACCAGCCGGCACTCCGAGAGCCATAACGGATGCCGCGGCTGGCGGTAAGGTGCAGCGGGCACAAGCTCCTAAGGACAGCGGGCAAAAGGGGAAGAAACCGAGTGCAGATCTACAGCCAGCTGGAGGATCACGCCAAGAATCGGTTCCCACGTCCGCACAAGTTACGGCCCTAATGGAAAGGATCGCAAGCTTGGAAGAGGAGCTACAAAGGGCAAGGGCAAGTGAAGGGCATGACGCAGCCGCCAGGAATCCCGTTGGAATCGGGTCGAGCGGTAACAGAGTGAGTGAGACGGCGAATGCGACGCCATGTTTGAGTGGACAGAATTTGAGTGAAAAACTTGTGACTCCATCTTTACATGGACAGTTGCCGCCATATTTGAGTGGAGATTTGCCGCCACAACTGAGTGGACATTTGGCAATAGGGCAACCAGTCACGAGTAGCACAAGTCGTACAACGGCAAGCTATTCCACGCCAAGATGTGTAACGGCCGAACTGCAGCCAGCGCACAGTAACGTGCAAGCATTTCGGGAGCCTCAACACATAACCATGGTACCCACACAGTCGGCTGGGTCCTATGGAATAGCATCGCCGAGCCTAAATGGATGGACGCCGCGCAGACTGCCTGATCTCCCCGAGTTTGATGGTCAGCCTGAGGATTGGCCAATATTCCAATGCGCGTTCACGGAGACAACAGCGGCGTACCATTGTACAGCTTTAGAAAACAACCAGAGACTAGTCAAGGCCCTGAAGGGTGAAGCGCGAGCATCCGTCAAGTCGTGGCTTATACACCCGAGTAATGTTCAGGCTGTAATGGAGCAGCTACGCTCCCGATATGGTCGTCCGGAGCAGCTGATACGCAGCCAGCTGGAAAACGTGCGAAGTGTGCAGCCGATCCAGGAGCACAACATCAGCAAGATCGTGCACTTCTCCACACGGGTCAGCAATCTCGCTGCGTTTCTACAGGCAACCCCGAACGGAGAGCAGCACCTAGGAAACCCCATCCTGATGGAGGAGCTGATCGCCAAGCTACCGCTGAGCAAAAGGTTGGACTGGGCCAGGCATGCCACTGGAATAGGATGCTTCCCCACGGTCGTACACCTCAGCGGATGGCTGGAGGAACTCGCCAGGCTGGTGTGTACCATATCGGACTTCGAGAGCAAGGAACCCAAGCGAAGGGTGCTGCACGCCAGCGCAGGCCAAAGGAACCTGGACCGGTATGACAACCAAGTTAGGAGTTGCCCAGTGTGCGAGGGGCAACACCTTATCAAGGATTGCAAGGACTTCAACCATGCGTCTCCAACTGTGCGATTCGATATCGCGAAGAAGCATCGGATATGTTTTTTGTGTCTGGAAAGTGGACATATGGCAAGGTTCTGCAAAAAAGATGTTAGCTGCAATGTATATGGATGCCAGAGGAGGCATCACTACCTACTTCACGAGCAACACACACGGCCACCACAGGCATACGGTGGTCCTCGGAGGGATCAAATGAGCAGCCGCAACCGGGCACTGCAAACTGGCAGTGGTCGACGGAAAGGCGAGGCACACATACCTCAGCCAGCGGCACCGAGTAGTTTCCCCACGCCACAAGCGAGTCAAGATGCTCGGCGTGAGGATGAGGGACGTTTGCGCAGTGGTGATACAGAAAGACCACATCGGAACCTAAGCTGCGTCGAGTCAGACGGTGGTCACTTACTTTTCCGTATTCTGCCCGTGACTCTGTACGGGGAATGCAAGCAAGTGGATACCTACGCGCTGTTCGACGAGGGATCTTCCGTAACCATGATAGATGACGAGCTCATTCGAAGCCTAGACCTGAAAGGTGAGAATCGGCAGCTCAATATCCAATGGTTTGGTGGCAAGTCATCCAGCGAGCGCACCAAAATGGTAAGCCTGCAGATCAGTGGAGCGGGCAAGCCAAAACGCCATGGACTAAGGAACGTGTTTGCAGTCCCAAACCTCAATCTCCCGATGCAAAGTCTGCGTCGAGAAGATGTCAAGACGGCGAAGGCTGGTGCATGCCTGCCGATGAGGCCCTACAGTAATGCGGCCCCGAGGATTTTGATTGGACTGGACCATGCACACTTGGGAATACCGATGAAAAATAGGAGCCTTGGAACAGGAGGACCATATGCAGCCGCCACCACGCTTGGATGGGTGGTGTTCGGGCCGGTGAAAGGACAAGTAAGTTCACCGACTCATACATCGTGCCTCTTAGCCATCCCTCAGGATCGTCTTCTGGACAAGATGGTCACCGACTACTTCGAAACAGAGAACTTTGGAGTAAAGCCGGCGCCACCAGTCGCAGCTAGTGGCGACGCACGGGCTTTGGGAATACTTAACGGGACGACTAAGCGAGTGGGTCAACGATATCAAACCGGGCTGCTATGGAAGGATGACGAGGTGAGACTGCCAAACAGTTATGACATGGCCCTCAAGAGACTCGTCAACATCGAACGAAAAATGAAGCGCGACGTGGAATTCGCGCAGGCCTACAATAGGATTATGGAGGACTATGTCAAAAAAGGGTATGCACGACGACTAGAGCCGCAGGAAGTCACTCCAGCCAACAACGACAGGGTCTGGTATCTGCCGCATTTCGGGGTCGAGAATCCAAATAAACCTGGTAAGATCCGACTAGTCTTCGACGTCGCAGCAAAGGTCGGCAACATATCCCTCAACTCAGCGCTGCTCAAAGGCCCACAGCAGTACAAGAGTCTGCCAGACGTGCTCTTCCACTTTCGGGAAGGAGCAGTCGGGGTCTGCGCAGATATTAAGGAGATGTTTCATCAGGTTTTGATACAGCCTCAAGACAGATGCGCCCAGAGATTCCTGTGGAGAAATGGAGACGACCAGCGGGACCCAGATCTGTATGAAATGATGGTGATGACGTTTGGAGCAGCTTGTTCGCCGTGCTCAGCGCATCATGTGAAAACAGTTAATGCTTCAAGGTACGCACGTACAGACCCCCGCGCGGTCCTGGCCATCAACGAGTACCATTATGTAGACGACTACGTAGATAGCTTCTCAAACGAGGTCGAAGCTATTTCCGTATCAACCCGGATCAAGGAAATTCATGCGAGTGCTGGTTTCGATCTGTGCCGGTTCTCCTCCAGTTCGGAAGGTGTGGTCAGAGCGTTGAACCCACTAGGATCCAGCGAGAACGTCGAGTGGACCGAAGCTGAGGAGAAGATTCTGGGCATGTACTGGCAGCCGGCTACTGACGACTTTAAATTCAGTATAAAGTACCACAGGGTACCCAGCAGCGTGATGACAGGGCAACGTGTCCCCACCAAAAGAGAATTCCTCAGCCTCGTTATGTCAACATTTGACCCGCTCGGATTTTTGAGCTGCTACACGGTGACCGCCAAATTGTTGATGAGGGAAACCTGGAGGAGATCAGTGGAATGGGACGAGCCCCTGCCTGATGAGCTAGCCACAGCATTCGAGAGCTGGCGGCAGGAGATGAACTACGTGAGAGAGTTTCGGTGTCCGCGCCACTATTTCGGCGTAGGACGAGTGCGTGAGCTACAGCTGCACATTTTCGTGGATTCGAGCCAATCGGCGTTTGCCGCGGTGGCCTATTGGAGAACCACTTATGACGACGGCGACGTGCGGGCACATTTCGTGTGTGCGAAAACCAAATGTGCCCCGATGAGGACGATGTCGATCCCGCGACTGGAACTCCAAGCAGCTGTATTGGGAACCAGGCTGATGGACACCGTAAAACAGACGCACGGTATGACGATCAGCGGCTGCGTTCTTTGGACTGATTCGAAGACTGTGCTGCACTGGATTAGCAGCACCCACCGGCGGTACAAGCAGTTTGTAGGAAACCGGGTGGCGGAGATCTTAGAGTCCACGGAGGTGTCCCATTGGAGATGGATACCATCTGCCGAAAATGTGGCTGATGACGCTACGAGACCGCAACGCCACGTGAACCTTAGCCAAGAATCGCGGTGGCTCAGCGGACCATCGTTCCTGCGAGAGCCTGAGGAGCTCTGGCCCAAGAGTTCTCCGGGTGATAGTAGCAGCCTGCAGACAACGGAGGAGGAAGAGATGCCGTGTGAGTTCGCACTGGTTTTAGCAAATAGCTTTATTTCTTTGCAGAGGTTTTCGAGCTACGATCGATTGGTTAGATCGACAGCATGGGTCCTGAGGTTCATTCGACGGTGCCGTGGGCTGCGTGACGTACATGAGGAGTACGGTCTTTCTGCTGCTGAGTGTGCTGAGGCAGAGCGCTTATTAATCCGTCGGGCGCAATCAGAGGCGTTCGCGGATGAAACTCAAGGGAAAGCCGTAGCGAAAGACAGTCAGCTACGAGGACTTTCGCCATACTTTGACGACGATGGAATTATACGTGCGTGTGGAAGAATCGATGCCGCCGGTTGTGTCCCAGTTAACACACGGCGCCCCATCATACTGTCGCACCAGCACGCACTGTCAGAGATGATCACCGATCACTACCACAGGAAGATGAAGCACCAAAACCTAGATGCGACCATTAGCGAAATCCGGACGAAGTTCTGGATAACAAATTTAAGGAGACTTTTACGGAAGGTTATAACCAGATGCCAATTATGTAAACTTCGGAGAGCGCAACCAGTTCCGCCACTGATGGGTCCCTTGCCAAAGGACCGGCTCGAGGCCAACGGTTGGCCATTTAAATAAACCGGCGTCGGACAGAGAAAAGGTGGGTGGCACTATTTACATGTCTAACCACCAGGGCTATCCATTTGGAAATGGCCCACGATCTGTCGACAGATTCCTGCATAATCGCTATGAGGAACTTTATGTGCCGCCGAGGACCAGTGATTAGATTGAGAAGCGACAACGGGAAGAATTTCATCGGAGCCAACCGTGAAGCCAGAAGGTTCGATGAAGTTTTCGAGCCAGAGAGGATCCAGGGTGAACTGTCATCCAAAGGAATCGAATGGATCTTCAACTGCCCGGCTCACCCGTCCGCGGGAGGCGTATGGGAACGGATGGTCCAATGCGTTAAGAAGGTGTTGGCGCATACCGTGAAGGAGGTGGCCCCTAAGGAACACGTGATGGAAAGCTTCCTTATCGAGGCGGAGAATATTGTCAACTCTCGTCCGCTTACCCATCTGCCAGTCACGGTGGACCAGGAGGCTCCATTGACGCCGAACGACCTGCTGAGAGGAGTAGCAAACGTTCCGGACCTCCCTTCAAATCGTGGACACCCGCCAGAGAAGTGCGCCACAAGGAAGCAGTGGCGTATAGCGCGGATGATGAGAGACCGATTCTGGAAGCGTTGGGTACACGAGTATCTACCAACGCTCATTCGCAGACAGAAGTGGTGTGAGCGCGTCGAGCCGATGCGTCGTGGGGATCTAGTGTACATATGTGATCCGGCCGTCCCTCGCAGGGAATGGAGGAAAGGCGTCGTGGAGGAAGTGTACCCAGGAGCTGACGGAGTTCCACGACGAGCAGCGGTGCGAATTACCAGCGACGATCGAACTAGATTAATTATGCGTCCCGTCTCCAAGTTAGCTGTTTTGGACGTGGTGAATGCAGCTGCTTCACGGGGGTGGGGATGTCGCGGAACGGATTAACCTAATTATCGATTGTCGGGCAATTCAAATGTAGCGCCACAAATTAGAGATTATATTTAGTACAATGTAACCGGTTGAGGATTCTCGCTGTTTAGGGAATGCGGTCACACAGCTTGAAGTTAGGAAAAGCCAAGCTTCCCGCTTCCAAGTTATTCCAATCAACGAGGTCAGAGAAGCTGGGAGGCGAGACTGCGGTAAAGTTAACTTATATGTGTAGAGTTAAATCATGAACTTGTAATATTCCTACAGAATAAAACCCCGTCTGGTAAATACCATTTTACGCTACAAGATCTGGCTATTTCTTGTTTCGGTGCGGTATATCGGGTTAAAGGCAACTCCCAGTGACCGTCGTTTGAGCGGCGTCAACTTGTATTGACGCGTACTCTAAATTCCTAGTAGTTAAAGAAATTCAGAATAAATTAAATATCGAAAATAAAGTAATGGAACTACTTCAACATTTTCCCCTAGCCAAAGTAATTATGACCGATAACGAACCGAGCTTTACCTCAGCTCAATTTAAATCTTTTGCACAAAGATGCGGAGTAACTCTACATTACGCAGACCCAAAGCACAGTACCTCAAACGGACAAGTGGAAAGGGCACATTCGACATTAACAGAATTAGCTCGCTGCATAAAAGAACAATTTAGTTTAACTGACTATTCCGAAATCGTAATAAGAGCCGCTCAGGAATATAATCAGAGTATTCATTCCACAACAAACCAAAAACCTGTTGACATTCTTTATAATAAAATCGAACACGATAATATTCCACAATTATTAAAAAATACACAGGAAAAAATGTTAGAAACACAAAATGAAAACAGAAAAGAAAAACAATTTCACGTAGGACAAGTTGTTTATGAGAAGAAATATGGAGAAAGAAATAAACTTAAACCAAGATATAAGAAGCAAATAGTTAAAGATGTTATGCCTAATAAAATAATAATCAACAGTAGAAACAGAATTATTCACAAAGATAATATTAAGCATTAATAAATTATTTTTTTTAACTTACAGAAAATGTATTCTTTAATACATATTTTATCAATTATAATATTAGCCAGTTCAGAAATAATTGAATACTCGAACCATGAATTTTTTCTGTTCAAAGACAACAAGGATGTACTTACGTATGAATCTTACAACGATTTATTCCACGTAACTAATTTAAGTTTTTATAAGGAAATAATTAATATAGAATCAGATAATATAAAAAAGGATTTAAATAAAAGGTCACAATGGGAAATAAAGTACGACTTAGAAGTAATCGAATTAATCTTATCCCAGTTAATATCAGCTAGAACAATAAGAAAAATAAATGAGTTAGGCACCGTGTGGAAATGGTTAGCTGGAACTCCGGACCATGATAATTTCATTAAAGTACAAAATAAAATCAATGACCTAATTGAAAATAATAATAAACAGTCTATTATTATTTCCAAATTGTTCAAAGAAATAGAATCTCTCTCGGAAAATTTTAAAAATGTTTTTATTGATCAAGATTTACCACTAAGAAAACATCGCTTACGATTGATAACATTTGATCTACAAAATTTAATTGATACTATCACCATTGCAAAAATTGACGTTTTCAACACCAAAATTTTAAATAATGAAAATATAAAAGAAATTTTAAAACACGAGCAAAAGCCAGTAATTATCGCTGACTTAATGGACATTTCTGTGTTCAAAATCGCATTACATAAAGAACTTTTAATAATTTATATAAAATACCCAATAATAAATAATAGATGCGAATTATATTACACTAGACCCATTTCCCAAATCGATGGAAAATTATTAATAAGTAACCAAGTCGCAAAATGCGAAAATTCATATTATGAAATGTCTACATTTAAGAAAGAACTGTTTAATAACTATTGCACTCTAAGTTTAGAAAAAACATGTTTTACCTGACTATTAAACGGTGAACAATCAATTTGTAAAAAAATAAGAGAAAAAAATAAAAAAATAGACATTATCCAAGATGGTGCCATTTTAATAAATGGTAACAACATTGTCAACAACTCCGAATTAGGTGGTTCATTCTTAATAACATTTAACGGTACAACCACAATAAATAACGTTTCATATACCAATTTAGAAAACAAAATTCTTAACTATATTACTACAAACCACTTCAAAAATTATGAAATATTCGATTATATCTTTTCAAATAACTCGGAACTCTCTTTAGATAATATAAATATTTTAAATCCATTCATTAATATTAATAATACCAAAATATCTATATCCTTTATATTATTAATTTTAATCATTATATATTTGATTTCTCTACCTATTATTAAATACAGACATATATTTGTAACCAAAAAACAACGGCCAGAATTAGAAAAACCTATTAACGAAGAAATATTTTTAACAGAATTAAGAGATCGTTTAAACGAAATCCATAATGAATCGGGACGATCCATTTTAGAAGGGGGAGAGTTATCCAACCCGTGAAACGGTTCCACTTATGGAACTAATAAACAAATTTTTAAATTCAATTATTCAACGGTTCCACTTATGGGATTAATAAACAAATTTTTAAATTCAATCTCAGCTACATTGCCTTTGCCTTTATTTATGATTCTGCCTTCGCCTTTTTCATTAACTTCGAAGGCCGCGCTTGACCGTTCTGCTAAGATAAATAAACCTATAGTAAAGTAAACAACAGCTTCCGTTCGAAGCCAAACTCTCACGTTCAAAGACAAAAGTATTGCGTTCCAATTTTTAATCAAAATTGCATCGGTCAGCATAATTGAATTTCACAACGAGATGCGACAGTTACAGCATAAGCTTTTATTTTAAACAAAAATCAAAGTTCTAAAAGCTTAAAAAAGAAAAGCTTCTGGCCGAGGTTCGTTGGAGAAGATTTTAGAATTAAGGAGTCAGTCTTATTCGGATTGAAACCGGGATCGGTCATAAGAAATAATAATAAGTGAAAGTGTCTTGATGTAATAAAGAATTAGTGAATTAAGGTCTGCACCAATTAAGTGAAATTAAAAAATAAAAAAAAATTTTTTTAATCAACCAATACGATCAAATTTAATTTGCACAATTGTAAGATTAGTGTAATAAATTATTAATATAAACAATAAAAAATTAAAAGCCGACATGTCAGAGCGCAAGCTCTGAAAATTAATTAATATTACCACAGCTCGGCAACAACAACAAGAAGAACGTCGACTTTTGTCAATCAAAAACAGCGCTTTCTTCTCTATACGAGCTGATGAGTCAACCATACCACCGAAAACTGCGAGAGCGCGCTCGGTCTCCCCTGCATTACTATGTCCAAGCGGCCAGCACCGAATGAGCCGTGGAGAGCCTTCGACCCCTACCACCTTACCAACAATATAACAAGAACTACCAGCAGGGCTGCCAGTTTAGCTATTTAGTTGCTAGATCTAGCAACTTTTAAAAAAATTTACAATTTTTTTTCGATTTGCTATTAGCAACAAATCTAGCAACTTTTCATATTTTTTTTGCAATTTTAGCAACTTTATTACAAAAATAAACATTTTGTTATTTTTTTCCATCATTTTAAACTTTTTTATACCTATTCCAATTTACTGAACCAATTACGATCGAAAATGGTTCACAAAGATATCGGAATTATTTTTTAACTCAGTGGTTCAATCATATGCTGTGTTGTGTCGGTAAAGATGCCAAAAATTTACAAACAACATTTTCGTGATGAATGGCTGCGCGACGACGAGTTTAAGGAGTGGATTCGCAAGGACTGCACGGACACTAACAGGGCCTATTGTGCGTATTGCAAATCCACAATAGGCGCGAAACTTTTCGAGATCCGACACCACGCCGCATCTAAAAAACAAGTGGCTGCGATTGGCGCTGTTACACAAAAAAACAAGAGAGAACGCTATAGTCGAGTGCCTCGACTATTAGATACCCATTACTCAGCTAAAAAAGTTCAAATTATCAATTTGAATTCGGCGATCTCTTAGAGCTGGCAGCTTTACAGCACGACCATCAGCACCAGCGCTGCTTTAGCGCAGGCAGCTTTTGTCCTGCACCAGCAGCTGTGTTTATGTTTATGTTTTTGAGTGCAATAAATTGACTAGAAATA